GAAGGGGTGTACACTGTGTGTTCTGACACCTGGCTGTCATATCCAGCATTAAGTTTTTCAGCAGTTTGTGCTGTAGAAGCTCTGCTGTGAGGCTGGAGCAGACGGGCTAGCCTTCATTCCGACATTAATGAGCCTTGAGTGCCCATGACCTTGTTGCTGGTTCATCAGATGTCCTTCCTTAGACCACTTTTGGTAGTTACTAACCAGTGCAGCCCAGGAACACCCAACAAGACCTGCAGTTTGGTAGATACTCTGACCCAGTCATCAGCCATTACAGATTGGCCCTTGTAAAAGTCACTCAGATCCTTAAGCTTGCAGGTTTTTCAATTTGAAGAAGGCTGTACATAGCAGACAACCAAAAAATCTGGTAGATGTGGAACAAGAATGCCATGAAGAATGGGCTAAAATTACACCTGAGAGGATCCAAACACTGCTCAGAGAGAGGCCACTGAGGTTGGAGGAGGTTAGGGAGGACATACAAAGTATTGGAGAACATTTCATAGAGGGGGATGCAAACTTTTGGACTGATATGATAAAGGTACCTTTCTTTTTATACACTCCCTGACCATTTTTATTACTTCTGTTGATGAAGGAACAGTGGTACTGGTTGAATGTGCATTAAATATTATGTTGATGAGAAAAAGATTCTTTGTTTTACTCCTTTTGCCATTTTGAAGTAAAGAGATGCAAACGTTTGCACTCAACTCTATCTCGCTCTCTTGGAATGAAAGCAAAATAACCATATCTTAAGTTCTTTTAAAGTTCACTGGAGGTTTAAAAGAGTGGCAGAGATCATTTCAGCACCTTTCAGCAGATGGCTGTGGTGTCTGGTAAATGAAAAAGAATGGTACAGTAGAACTGTTATATGATGAAATGTGGAATAGAACACATATAAAATAATCCTTGTACTCTGTGGCACAGACCTGTGACAGTCGTGCCACACCCAGGACTCTCTGCTAGCTTTGGGCCTGAAGTCAGCCTGGCCGTTATTGTGGATCTGGGAGGAAAAGCGCAGCAGGCGGCGGTAGGAGTTGGCTGGGACCTGGCTGGAGGTGGAGGCCAGACAATTCTCCTCATATGCACACTGAAGCATGAGCATGGGTCTGTCCTCCATGTAGGTGGTCTGCTCCACCACCTGAGGGTGCAGCACCAGATCAGCGGCCGCTGTAGACAGGATGATAAAAAAAAGCCAAGCAGATGGAGACAAAATATATTTAGAAACCTATAGAAATGACTGAGAGAAAAAAAACTGTAGCATGGGAAAAATACAATACTAAATAAGAAAAAGTTGGGACAATATATAAAATCAAAATTAAAACTGAAAATAGTGATGTGTAAATCATCTGTGTCCTGTATTACAATGAAAACAATGATATGTCACCATCTATGGTGCAGAACATCATTAAAAGATTCAAGTTATCTGGAGGGATTTCAGTCTGTAAAGGGCACAAGCCTAAGCTGGATGACCATGCTCTCTGATCCCTCAGACATCACTGCATCAAGAATCGTCACTCTTCTATAAGCACTATAACCACATTGGATGACTTTGGCACACCTGTGTCAGGCACTACAATACGTAGTTACATCCATGAATGCTGCTTACAACTGTACTATGCCAAAAGGAAGCCCTATGTCAACAGTGTCCAGAAGCACAGTCGACTGATCTGGGCTCAGAGGTGTCTGGGATGGACCATCACACAGTGGAAATGTGTACTGTGGTCAGACCAATCAGAAGAAACGGACATCGTGTGCTCTGGACCAAAGACGAAAAGGACCATCCAGACTGTTCCCATCAACAAGTCCAAAAGTCAGGCTCTGTCATGGTCTGGGTTTGTGTCAGTGCCTTGGCAAAGGTCACTTACACGTCTATGATGGCACATTAATGCCGAAAAATACACAGAGATGTTGGAGCAACATATGCTGCCTTCAAGATGACATCTTTTCCAGGGACACACATGCATATTTCAACAAAACAATGCAAAACCTCATACTGAGCACGTTACCAAGTCTGTGGAGGAAAAGGGTGTGAGTACTGGACTGGCCTGCCTGCAGTCCCAACCTGTCTCCACTAGAGAATGTGTGGCGCATTTTGAAACAAAAATTGTGTCAATGACGACCCAGGACTGTTGCGCACCTTAAGACTAGCCAAAGTGGCATGGTGATGCAGTAGTTCTGGGTTTAAACCTTGTGTCCAACCTGGTGTTCTCAGTCCCTACATTCTTTTACGAGTAAGTGTTGTGAAAAGGAACGGCAACATCACACCGTGGTAAATGCTTTTTTTGGAATGTGTCGTGTGTTAAGTGAGTGTTGATTTTGAACAAAGAATAAAACTGATGAAGTATCACATCAAATAATGTGCTGCTACACTGTTTTCAATGTGATACAGGACACTGATGATTTCCACATCGCCATTTTCTGTTTTAATTTTGATTTGACATACCATCCCAACTTTTTCTGATTTGGGGTTATAAATTTGTGATTTCTGTTACAAACTGCAGAGCCCTCCTGTGAATCACGACGATATTGGAGTTTCAGTTATGCAAACATTGCTCTGAGACAGAGCTCTCCAGAGGCAGAAATCATTTCATCTCTTGAATTAAAACTCAATGTGCAGAGCAAGAGAGTAAAAGCTTTTCAGCGTAAACATCAGCTGCTATTAAAAGTGGAAAAGTCAGTTATTTCTTTTCTTTTTTTATTATGATTCATGACTGTGCAGTGTTCAAGATCTTAAATGGGCAGAGACAAACTTTACTGATGAAACATCCGATGATTTCTCAGCACCTTGTTTTTAACAGTTACTGCACCTCTCAAAGGCATTTACCTAGGAAAACATAAATTTGGCCGTCTTACTCTCAGAGCAGGAGACTCCAGCGGCATTGCGTCCACCTCCTCTTGGGCAGCTGAGGTGGTCCCCATGGTGCAAGCAGTAGGACAGAGACATCTCAGTTCCAGAGCAGCGAACGCCACTCATCACCACATCGTCTGCACTCACCTCACCTGGCCAATACCACGTCTCCTGTCGAAGAAACATAACCCATTGTCATTAGGGTAACATCCACCTCTGATGCAGTGCTCTCTGACTGATTACATACTGTGTATATTGTGGATTTGGTGAAATTTCACACATACCTGTACAGTGTGCATGAGTATGTTTAATGTCACAGCTTTTTATAAAAACTGACATTACAATCATCCACTCACTGTGATCCCCTTCAGAAATGACAAAGGTGTTTCACTGATCACAGCTAGTCATTAGCTTTTTATGCCTCCATGTTGTTGATGGCCACAAGCCGAAGGCATCATGTTGTCAGGTTGTTATTATGCTTTATGTTACTGTTAGATCTGAGCACTGACACAGATAATGCTCATCTAAAAAAGGCATGGAGTTAGGGTACATACATGTATGTACAGTAGGTTGATCATATGTTGTATTATTGTTAAAGTAACTAAATATAATTCTAAATGATCTATAAATATAATGGAGTAAAAATTAAAAATGTGCTTTTAAAATGTATTAGTGCAGAAGCATAAAACCAATCAACATCCGTAGACTCCTCAATGCCACTTAGTGGCTTCTATCCATCACTATTTTACCAGCAACGTGGATTTTGGATACAGAATGACAAAATGATAACGAACAACTGCAAAACTGTGTGACAGAAAGGACAATTTCATCTCATTTCCTCCAAATACTGTATTGTAATGATGCCAAGCCATCACTTGGGCCCTGTTCAGAGACTTGTGAAAGGTGACCTGTTGTGAGGAACGGTGAGCCTACACATTGACCACTATCCTTCTACAGAATGGGGCATTTATTGTATTGATGATGTGGCATTGAAATAACAGTATATCATCACATCAAATAGATGGCTAGTCTGTTACCAGTCAGCAGTTTACATGTGTCCTCATGTCTATACTGTCTGATGGAACTGCCATATGAAGATATGATGTACATAATACTGTGCACTCCTATACCTCTCATTCCTCTATTGATACACAAACCATTCATAAGTCTCTACTCTTTATTCCACAACTCTGCAGACATTTTAAAAGGCCTCTTCCCACCTATGCTTATAAGTATCATGCTGCACTATAAAATATATTTCAGACACCCAAGTTCTCCTTGTTAAAAACAAAAGTGATCTTTATCTACTACAGGTGTATACAGTTACTGTTTGTTACTGTTGGCATCATTATACACATACAGCAGAAACACAGGACAGTGGAGTCCACCAACGTCCACCCAGTAGTCCACTGAGAACTATATGGAAGTATATGAAAACACTACTTCATGGAACAAAAATATTACTATGACAAAACAGAAAAATGTTTGAAAAATTAAACTTTTATCAGTAAAGCAAGTCAGTTAATAAGGTTTCTTGTTGCTTTAATAATAACCAGTCTTGTTTAATATGTTGAATTGGCAACTGAAGTAATTAATATGAGCTGCTGATAGTGACGTCTCTAAAATTAATAACTCATTATATTTACTTGGATTAAAAATCTCAAAATCTGTAACTTCTCATAAACTCAACTCAAAGAACTGTCTCATCTTTGCCTTGGTTTTTCCTATTATTAACAAATGACATAGCTCCAGGAAAAGTTGTGGAGTTGTAAACCAAAGTGTTACCACACAATCCACTGAATTTAAAGACTGAAGATCTAGACCTAGCAACACAATGCTATTTTATAAGAAAAATCTGGGTAAATCTGAGCTTTTCCTGACAAACCTTGTCTCAGTCTGATAGACTGGAAGAACCAGAGAGTGATTTCCACCTGCCTTGCTGCCGTGACTTGTACCTGGAAAGCATTGCTGGCGAAGCCCAGGCCCAGTTGTCTGCAGACCACCATGGCCTCCATGATTCCCCAGCCTTCACCGCACACTGTCCCCCACACCAGAGAGCCGTTTCTCTCCACCAGCACCTCCACACGGCCCTCATAGGGGTTACGACCTCCATTCAGACGCAGCTGTGGCCATGAAAAACCCAACAGAGGCAGTGACTTAAAGACTAAGTCCACTGAAGGACCCCACATTATCAGATGACTCAGTGACACGTGATGTATGATGTGTTCCAACAGTTATTTGAAGATACTACAGTACAGTTCACTTTTTGGTATAAAAATGGACAAACAAGTATGTAATTGGCAATTGGAAGACACTGTTCTTGTATGGAGAACCAACTAGTCAATAATGCACTTTGCTGGTGTTTCATACAGTATATGCTACTGTGGTCTTTGAGCTCGGACTGACCCTCTCTTGGAAGCCCATAGCAGGGACATTACACCTGACACCTGCATCCTCCTCATGGCTGCAACCCAGAACCTCTTTGTTGAAAGCGCACTCTGTAACAGACTTCTCAAAACCAGAGCACTTCACCTCATTCATATGCACCGGGCCCATACCTGAAAAACACAAACAAAAGAAAGGGTTTAGAAAGGCTGCTTTGGGGTTTTTCCTTTGCTTCTCACCGAATCTGAGACGTGAAAACAAATGATAAATAGAATACAATTTGAGAAATATATGTGTCATATCTTACGGCTCTGGTATAAAATCAAAAACGTAATAATAAATAAAAATAGCTTAGGGACATTTTTGTCACTTTTGGACAAAGCCAGACTATGATAAATGGACTGTATTTATATAGCGCATTGTTCCACAGTGTGTTGCACTGGCCAAAGTGCTTTATAGGAAATGATACACCATTCACACACCAATGACAACAGGCTGCCACACAACGGCGCTAGTCAAGCCACCAGGAGCAATTTGGGGTTCAGTGTCTTGCTCATGGACACTTAGGCATGTGGGGAGACCGGGAGTCGAACCACCAACTTGCTGGTCAAGAAATGATGGCCCTACCTCGTGAGCCCCCAGACTAATTGCCTTCCCTTGTTTCCAGAGAGCTTACTGTACACATATGAGAGCGACTGATCGTTTCATATAGCAAGCAAATACAGTATTTAGCCTGTTCATCAACTCAGCCTGATCTTCCCCCGGGTCACTTTGAAATGTAAATGTATTATTATATTAAATATTTATAAGATAAAGTATTTAAATGAATCTGTTGCACTGCCCCTTGTAAAGTGACTGGGAATCTCCCTCAAAGTTTGTTAGGTACTACATTCTGGAGAATCTTAAGTTCAACACAGCAATGTCAGAGAAAATTAAAATCCAAAGTGATTTTGAGGATTTTCAATCAGGCCACACAAATGCATGCACTGGGGCATGTAATCAGGTCTCTCCTGTTAAGGTCAGGGGCTGACCCTGAGCTGTTTGACCCAACAATCAACTATTAACATAAACCATGACGAACAAAAAAACAAAGGGAAGGTTTAACTTAACCATAACACAAGGACGCTGCTGTCCTGCTGCCCTGGACAACCTCACCCTGCTGAGCTGCTCCAGAGCTCCACAAGTGGTGGCCTCACCTCATGCTGGTGGTTCGGGGCAGGGGCATCACCAGTACACAAATCTATAAAGTTATTTGGTTTAATTTTATTTTTCTTTAAAAAATACTACATATCAGTCTGCATCGAGTTGGACACCCCACACTACACACTTTCACACACGCAAGCAAAATTTAATAATCCCTATGTCTCTTATGTTAATATTTGTTGTCTTATCTTCTATGCTATGTCCTTTGTCCTGTAAATGTGTTATTTCATGTCACAATAAAAAAGAGTTTTCAATCACTGAAAACTCTAAAAATGAAATGGCTCCATTCGAGTCCTCATGGAAAGATTTAAAACAGCTGGTATGTACCAATCAGTCGTGCTTTCATTTATAGTGAGCTTTCACAAGATGCTGTGTACTACTGCTATCTGTGACTTTTTTTAAATTTCCTTCTGAGTTTTTTGTTTTCCATGAAGGGTAACAGAGCCACTAATGAGAAATCATGATGGAAAATGATTCTGGGAATGGAACATTCCTTCTGTTTCAACATTTTCCATGGCTAATATCATTGGAATATGCAGCAATGTACAACGTGTCCCTGTTTTTGCAAAAGGAAACACCTCCTATTCAGAAGTACTATGCTGTACAGAATTCTTTCTGATGGTTACTGGTATACCCTTAGGGAAAAAAATACAGTATCCTTTTGCATAGTATATCCTACAAACAGGTGAGCTGGCTATTGACAGCACTGAGAACTGTATATCAGGGGAGATACAGACTGTGCAGACAGGTAAGAAATGAAAGGACCAAGCTGAATAACAGTGGTCTCTTCCAGGATGACAGTGGCCCTAACCACGGGACATGAGGGGTCACTGAATGGGTTGATGAGGATGAAAATGATGTGAATCATATGCTGTGACCTTCACAGTCACCAGATCTAAACCCAGCTGAACACCTATGGGAGATGTTGGAGTGACATGTCGGACAGCATCTCCACTACCATCATCAAAAAACCACATGATGAATATCTGTTGGAAGAACAGTGTTCATCCCTCCAGTAGAGCTCAGAGACTTGGAGAGTCTATGCCAAGGAGCACTGAAGCTGTTCTGGTGACCCAGCACCTCACTGAGACACTTCATGTTGGGTTTTCCTTTCATTTGTCACCCGTCTGTTGCATGTGTAACTTAGAAGTAGGTCAGAACCACATTTTAGTTGTGCTGGGGTCCCAACTTCCAAACCTGCTTTGCCTTTCACTGCTTCACACTTCATACCTACGGCAATGAAAGTAGCTTTAGTGTTAAATAACTTCATCTATGTATAGACAGAGATCAATCTCATCCAAATGACAAGACACATTTTATGCCACACATCACTGGAAAGAAAGCGATGGGTTAGACGTTGATGTTTTAGTATTGACTCTGTCCACAGCCCTGTTGAGTTTGTCTGTTACTTCTCTCTGGCGGTGCACCAACCTTCGAACTCAGTATACAGGAATCTTCATAAATCCTTACTGAGAGGTATCTGAGTTCATACCATCCTCACTGGCCTGTGCCATGGTAATTAATCCTGTTCCAATGAGCTAAATCACTTTTATCGTCAGGTCTGTATGTGAGTTCCTGATACTTTGCTCAGTGGCACACAGGGGTGGTATGGGGTAGAAAGCTTAAAGGATAGAATTACTGCCCGAAATGTTTGGAATATGTGGTTTAGCTAAACAGTTATAACTTTCCATCATGTGCCATGTAGACAACATACTGTACTGTTGTTCCAGCGATAAAGACTGTCATTCTGAACTCCGTTTCATGTCTACTGTGTACTTACCCACGCTGTTTTTAAGGTTTCTGTACAGAAAAATGCTGCTCACATTTCATAGCTTTATGCTTTTCCTATTGGCTGCATCACACAGCTAATTATCAAAGAAAAAGAGGGTGCTGTGGCAGAGCTGAGCGCAGCAGTACACCTTAGTTTGCAGGCTTGTTATTATGCATTAGCTTAATTGAAAAACGCTTTAAAATCTTAAGCCATTTCTTTCTTCTGCTGGGAAGCCCCTGTTGCAGGAAAAAAAAAACAAGTACCAGTGAAGATATTAAACCAGTATACCTTGTCCCAGGCGACCTCCAGACAGGGCCTCCTTTGCCGTACCGAAGCCCAGCTCTCGACACACCACAGTGGCAGCCAGCAGGTTCCAGTTGTCATCACATATGGTGCCCCACTCTCCGTTTTTCAACACCTCCACTCGGCCCTCCCCTACAATGGCCCCACCGCGAAGACGAATCAAGGGCTGCTGAAGAGGAAAAACGGAGACATTGTTAGAGCTCAAAATCACTGGACAAGCTAAAATGTTCTAAACCACATATTTAGGTTATTCTGGTTCTTTCAGTAATAACAGACTCAGCTGAAAGGTTGGCACATCAGCTTTTCCTTGATGAGAAAGTTGAGGCAGCACAGTGGGTGGCTTCATGTTTATAGAAGATGCTATATATGCAGTTCTCCCATTAACTGTTTAGACATACTGGAAGTGTTTAATTTTACAAGTAAACACATTAGTAGCACAGTCTAATCTGACTTACAGCTATGTGTATTTACAAAGTAAAGCCCAGACAGCTTGATGTGTGGACTCTGGAATTTGTCTTTACACCTCCTCCACAGAGCCTTATAATATTCATCATACAAAAAACTGAAACTAACGATGCGAAACACTGACAGGGTTACAACCTCCATTGAAGTATTTTATAAATAAAACTGGCAGAGATGTACACTCTGCTGTGGTGTTGTTTTCGTGTTAGCAGATCTTTACAGCTAACATCAGGGCAGAGGATATTAGCAGTTAGTAACTCTAACAGGGTTATTTTTAGCTCTCGCCAATGAGTAAAACTTTTATATTTAGTCTTGTTCAGTTTCTTGCTCTCTTTCTCTTTTTCTCTCTTTTTTGGCTGGTCTCCAGTGACTCTCTAGTTCTGGGGGTCTGCTGTTTTGGGAATGCTTTGATTGGACAGATCATAAACATACAAATCTCTCTGTGGGCCAGATGTTTTCTGACTAATCACCATACTACTTACTGCTACGTGTGTGCTTAAGTCAATGTCCTGTTGCACAGCTTGTTCACAATTACAGTAGGGTGATTGTAATAAGTTAGTACATCCAAACTTTAGCACAGCTTGTTCACAATTACAGTAGGGCGATTGTAATAAGTTAGTACATCTAAAGTTTTGTCCAAACTCTCAGGGACAGGAGAACACAGTTGCTCTTAATGTGCAAGTGGAACACTAGTGTCCTTGCCAACAGACAAGTGTGCTTGAGATGTAGGGATTTGTCTTCGCATACAAGAATACTGAGCTAGCAGAAAGGTCTAGTGCCGTAAAGCTAAACTCAGCTATCACGTGAGGTCCCCGAGACAGTGATCTAAAGTTACACGGTGCAGTAACAGATAATCTAGGCACACAGTGGCAATAGCAGAGCTGCCATTCACCGTATTAGAAGGTGATTTTGAAGCTGTTACTATGATATTGTTACTTTAAAAAGTTTTGATAATTAGTTGCTTATCAGGAACATTTTCACACATTTCTCAAATGTGATAAATGGCTGCTTTTCTGGCTTCTTTTGTTATGAGCATATTTCTGTGCATTATGGCAATTTATGTAATAATCTGACAGATCTGGTGTCTTCTTGGCAACTAACTTAAAGCAGGTTTCCAGAAACCTTGGGGACACCTTTGATTTCCAGTAGAACTTAGAAACACATTAGTTATTCATCTTAATTGAGAAACAACTGATAAGCTCTGTCCCTTCTCATCTTTCTAGCAGCTACAACAAATCATCCATTCATGTATATCCTCTTGTCTTGACTATTGTGGTGTGCTGCATTCTTGTTTAAACCAGCAGATAAGCTCTGCAGAGTGCCTGATAATGGCGGATGTGGCTACTTTACTGTCTTCCTGTTTAGGACTGATTTCAAAACCCTTCTAATTACTTCCAAACCTTAGCTCCACCATATGCCACTGAGTTGTTGAGCATACATACAGTAGATCCAATAGGCCTTTGCACTTTGTAACCATGGCTTTGAAAAGTACTGCGCAAATAATATTTTACTGTATAGACTTTATGTACTTTCCCGCTAGCTATCGACTTATTTTATTAGACAATAGGTGTTGGCTTGGTTTTTTTCCAGATGGTAAATATCAGTATTTTGAAATGTTTTCAGGATAAGGTTCCTCTGAGTGGATTTACTGAGTGTGGTGGAAGTGATGACATATGGCATGAGGCATGCCTCTCCCAGCTCTGCACTCAGCTGTGGAACGTGACAGAGAGCATGCAGGCAAATACCTCACAGCAGAACGTGGATGGAGTCAGACGGTCAGAGAAAAAAAGTTTTTTCTAGCTTGTTTTAAAGTTTGAGTTGGTCGTTTATAGTTGGAGTAAGCTTAATGACCTTTGGAATGTGATTCCTTACTCATGGGCATTAATGTGCTGCTGCAGCCTCCACTCTTCTGGGTCCAGGCTTTCCACCAAATTTTGAAACCAAAAGAACATTTTAAAGAAAAGCTGGACACTGATGTTGAGACCTGGGTCATAGTTAGCGTTCCATTCATCCCAACAGTACTGGATGGGATTCCAAACAGGTACAAACCAGTTCTTTATAGCCCTAGACATTTGCATGGAGGCACTGTTATGATGACACATGTGAAAAGGCCTCCCCCAAAGTTGTTGACGGCAGCCTGACCTCGACCCAAGACAGATGCTGTAAAATGAACTCAGAGACCTGTTCACTCCAAACATCCTGGGAATATGTCTGAGCTGAAGCAGCTCTGTGAGGAAAAATGGTCCAAAATTCCTCCTGAACATTGTGCAGGTCTGAGCCACACCTACAGGAAGCACTATTGCTGTCAAAGGAGCTTCAATCAGTTATTGAATTCAAGGGTACACTTCCTTTTTCCACCAGATCAAAGCCATGAACATTACAATTCTTTGCACATTGTATTTGTCTATATAAATGAAGATCAGATCACATTTTATGACCAGTTCAGGTAATTCCAAATGGTTCACTCACTATTTTATGCAGGTGTCTTGCTCAAACCTTGACTAATATCCCCAGATCAAGCTAAATGACATCTAATGCTCACTAAGTCACTCTGTCATGCTTTAATGACACAACACCAAATCCCCAAATAACTGTAGCACATTTGAGATCTTTTACACATGTGATGTTAAGACTTGAAGAGTGAGTTCTTCAGCTGCCGCTGCTGCACTGTCACAGGCATGTCAGGAGGAAAGACAGAGCACATTTTTCATCTGGGATTCTCAGATCTGAGCAGAGAACAAGCCAGCCCTTTAAAAAAAACTGAGCAATCAATCAACCTCTGCAATTTGGTACTTCTACAGTTCAAGTTCACAACCTGAGCTACCTGAGGAAGAATGTTTTAGTGAATAAAACTGGGTTCAGTTTTTCAAGTAACTAGAATGCAACATGTGACAACTAACCTAGTGCTGCATTTTACTGACCCTGGAACTCTGGTTTCACACTCAGAGACATTTGAGAAGAAGATCTTTTCACTAACTCTGGCAATGCTTTCTGGAAATAGATTTTTCCGTTCCCTGTCCCAAGACTTTTACTACACAATTTCATCTTTTCCGCCCCCAGATAGTGATAAATCATTTCAACAAGTAATGTCCAAAGCAGCTACAGCTGCAGTTCTCAAAGTCACACAGAGTTCTAATGGCTAATGTCTAACCAAAACAGCTCATGCACCCTCCCACTGCGTTAGAGCCAGTGAACTGAACTCTACCACAGCAGATATTTCCTGCATCAACTTTATTTACCCCTCCAGTTTGTTGATGTCATGCAGGGACACAGGAGACAGAGTCTGTAAAAGTTAGACAGTACTCAGTGCCTAATTCAGTTTCATGACTGCTTGAATAGGACATGGAAAAAAGAATAATTTGTACAGAGATATTAGTTAGGTGTATATTTGGAATAATCTGAATGACAATAATAGACACTCATGAATAAATAAGTTCATTATTATTTAGTGGTTTTAAAAATGATTAAAATTCATATACAGTATGTTCTTTAATGTGACAAGTAACTCTTTTACCTCTTGTCTGAAGGCGTTTCTAAATTTCGTCATAGGAGTCGGAGTGAAGGCTTTCCCGGGCACACAGCTCACCACCACAGGCAGTCCTCCAACACAGGTCCCATTGGACTTCAGTGATGTAATATGGCCCAGTTTACAGCTGGACAAATGGGCCTCATTGCCAGTGCAGTTGACAGAGAAGTCCCAAAATGAGGGCTTTTTCCTGCGAGCAAATATCCTGCACAGATGAAGGAGAAAAAAAACCAAAGGTTTAAGGCTCTTTTAGACAGCGGTTGTATTGGCATTAAGCTGTGACTTTGCCTGTTTACACTGAACAAAAAAAAGGCATAATGCTGCCCCTGTGTTCTTTTTACACAGATCCGAGCATCTCTATATTACATGCATGACGTTTAACATGACGTCCAGCGTGACATACAGTTCAACACATTGGAAACACAAAGAACACTGGTAACACAATTGCTTTCAAATCAGTGCAGTGGCAAATAAACAGAGTAGGGATCATACACATTTATGACATGATTCACACTCAAAGTTGTTGTGCATAGTTTACAATGTGTTAATGATTATAGAATCTCAGCTTGAATGGGCCTATATTAACCAGCCATTTGGTATTTTTATCAAAATGAGACCTGTGTAATGTGCAGGACCATTCCAAATTTGACCTGTCAGTTGATGTTTTTTTTTTCTTGTATTTTCTACATTGTCTATTAATATTGAAGACATCAAAACAAAAACATAAAAAATAAACATATGGAATTAAGTAGTTAGCAAAAAAGTGTAAACAATGCTAGATTTGTTTTAATGTTAGGTTCTTCAACATCACCATGGTGTCTCATAGTTTACACAATTTTTTAAGTATTAAAAAAAGATTTGTGCATAAAAATGTCTGTGCTCTTTTCTCAATTCATTTTTATAAAATACTTTCAGACAGGTGCCCTGAAATTTGTGAGTGGATGATAAAGTAGCGATTCATTAACCTGCTGCTGAACATGAAGTGGAGTTTCTAGACACTGTTTGGAAACTAATCAAATGCCAGTGGATCAACTTAGAATTAATACATTCATCAAAACTTGAAGTGAAATGATGAGACTTTTCAGGGTGCTTTATCTTGACAACTTGAAGTGAAATGATGAGACTTTTCACGGTGTTTTGTCTTGACGCATACACCTAGACAAGGGCAATGATGTAGTAATACCAAAAGTGAAGGTTCAGCTAACAGCTGGAACATTCACTGTCTTGAACAAAGTGAGGTTAATGATACTTTTTCAGGCCTGCTGAGGAACTAGTCCTCTCCATTTACTGATGAGCCCATATTGTGTTTTTAATGAGCCTCATTTGCAGAACGGCATGTCCTGTTTTTGTGTGTCATGCCAGAGGTGTATATGATAAACGTGATTAAAATGGAACAGGCAGCATTTGTTTTTCATTTCGGAGCTGGGGAGGTGGAAGCTGCAGACTGGAAGCTACATGTAACAGCAGCCAGAGGACTGGCTCTGCTGTCTCCTTAAAACAATGTGAACACAGGCACGATGCATATCAGGACTGCTCAAATGGAACCAAGACCAAATAAACCAGAGGTCCTGTGAAGACTGACCTCTTAACCCAGCTTTAATCAACGTCAGTGTCACTCTCCACAACTACTTTCAACTGAAACTTAATCACAATGCACACTAGTAATGGGGAAACTGATTTTACATGCCAGTGGCAATTTATGTATTTGCCATGGTTACTACTACACATATTGTGAAAACAGCTGTATATTGTGTATTTCAAAAAGTAATGGGTGATGGATGATCAATTCTATTTTTAAATAAAGGTCTCCCAACTTTATGTAGGTGCAGTAGTGCTGCTTTAAAAACCTCAGATTAATGTCAATGTCACTGACACGCTGGACTCCAACAAAATAAACATGGTTAAATTAACACTGTAATGACAACATTATTTGAATTATAATCACTATTATTATCTGTTTTACTATAATTACTGTTTCAGAGGTATTGCCACTATGCTTGAACACACTGAACACTTGTAATTTTGCGGAATGAAACCAAAAATCTCCAACTTGGAAAACTGTTCTGTACACACACAGTGAACCTTCACTTCCATATTTCATAAGTACATTTAATTTAACTCCCCAAAGTGACTCTGGGTAAGGCTAAATTAGAAGGTGTCCAGTACCAGAATCAAGACAAACCCAGGTTTATGAAAACCGTGGTATCTGTTGGCTCACCACTGCTCACTGTAAGAACAGTGCACGTTTCATGGGGCTGAAGCGGCAGCAGGCTGACATGCAGATGGAAAGTCGAGGAGCAGCTTTGCTCTGCTGTGGTTACCTAAAGCAGAGGAAACTTCCAGCCCAGGTTAATGTGAGTGCTGGAGGTTTTGTGTATGCAGAGATGAACCTGTGGCTGTCTGGCTATAATTTTCCTTGTATTAGCACAATATAGTCCCCTGAGCAATCTCTCACACATTACAACAGCGCTGTGGAATGCATTAAGGTTGGATATACAGGAGTCAGGCTGGGTTTCAGTGTGTAAGACCCTGTGATGTCAAACATGTAACCCACACAAAGGAAGTTGTATTATTCAGGGTTATCCCTAAGTATTTTAACCTTTTAACACCAACTCTCCTTTTGGTGGCAGACTTCCTATATTATACTCAATGGACTATTTGTGATGGTTAAATGTTTGCTTTAATTTTTAACCCTAAGATTTTGCAGATATCACAGAGTTGGAGTACTAAAAGCATTCAGTTGTATACTGTAGTTGTTATGTCCGTGGCCCTGTCCACCCCCAGCACTTCATCAGCTGGCACGGGCTGTCACAGTAGCTCCGCCCCCACACAGGTGGGAATGCATTCTAGGCAGCGAGGCACACCTGCTCTCAATTACCAGACTAGTACTTAAAGGGAGCATTGGTGTGCACTTGTTGCCAGATGATCTTTTGTGTTTGTGCTGGTAACCTGTCTTTGCGCTCATGACTAAGATTGTTTGTGTATGACCTGTATTCTAGATTGTAGGACCTGATTTCAGGTAGTAACGAACTGATTGCCCTTATTGTTTTTTGAAGGGTCACTTTCTGTTTGAACTGTTTTCTGTGGACTTGTGGTAAGGATGGGAGTACCCTCTGCTTGGTGGTATCAGCCATTTTTGTATCAGCACAATTTGGTGCCTGGACTGTGAACTGTTTCTCCAGGTGACACTCCTCAGGACGAGGAGACCAACTCTTGCTGGGACTGGTTGCATGGTTCTGGATCTCCACTGTCAGCCTTCTGCACATCATCTTACTACCTGCTTGCCGTTTGCTGCGAGCCCGAGCCTCACCACGACGGTAGTACTGCACGTCGGACCAGTGATCTCCTGTGCCAGCTCCTACACCTCCCCCTGGACTGTGTTCTTAGCCTACAACACTCACCTGCCTAGAGCCAGTAAATTCTGCTACTCAGGTCCTCAGTATAACTATCAGTCTTTCCATTACCATAGCATGCCTGTTACTCATTCTCATCCTCTGCTTTTCTTTAGCCAGCTGCGCCTCTCCTACAACCTTGGGTTGTAGCTCTAGCAGTCCAGTCATCCCAGCACTCCCCGCTGTCCTGAGATCGGCTGACGTGACTGATTCTGATCACTTCTCAGTTCTGTTTATTAAAATACATTTACCTGGTCAAGCCTGAGTCCGAGTTCTGCCTTTTTCTTAGTCCGAACAAGCACCCATACATATATATGGTTTGCCATAACAGTAGTTTGCTGTGAATTGACCAGGGTTATTTTAATGAACACACCTCTTTTGAGGCAGAACCCTTTTTGGTAAAGGGTAAAAAAATACTACAGTAAGCTAATTTGGGTCAGGGCCCAGATGAGTTGATTAAGAACTACTATGTTTTGAGCATCAGCTTGAAGTTGTAATGTCTGCTGTGATGCTTGACGTACCTGCGTTCACATGGTAGGGGAAATGATTTGTTTGGGTGACCTGGCATGAGGTTCTTACATGACACCAGCCAGGTAAACACTTCAGAGTCCAGACAACTGACCGCCAGACTTGCAAAATAATATATTGGCAAATGAGTTTCTAAATTTCACGTTTGCACCATTAAAACAGTATAAACAAACGCACACATGTAACCTCATCCAGTCATTGCACTGAAACCAAATCCAGACTGTATGTACTTTTATGTTTTGCATGCATGCATGCCAGGCTGCGGGGAACTGGTTAACCTGTAATTACCAATTTGTGGGTGTGGTAACAAACTGTGGAAAAACAGATCAGAGTTGATCTGGAGAAGATTTTGTCATTATCCAACAAAACCCACTGAGTCGCAGCACTAAGCTGGTGGTCGTACTGTTCCAAAATACTTTATAATACTACAGCATTTCTGTATAAGTGGCCACTCATGAATGACACCCTAAATCCACCTCCATTTGAGCTGAGTTTTTATAGTGCAGTACTCACGTGTAAACTCTGGCATTGTACCTCCTCTCCCCAGGAAAGCCAAACATGCCACAGATAACTCTGCTGTTGAACTGGGTCCACTCTGTGTTACAGATCTGCTTCCATTTACCACCATCCTTGACCTCCACATAACCCTCTGTTACAGGGATCCGCTTACGGTATGAAGACAGGATAGCTCGTATGCGCACGTCCTCCACTTGTATATCAAGGTTCTGTGGGCCATATGTCGAGAAACATGTACATGTCAAGAATTTTACCACTGAAGTAAAAACATAAGCCCATTATTTTTTCCTAGCAACAAATGCTTGTTTGTCTTACTGAAATGTGGTTTGTCATATACAGTAAATTGTGTTCATGTTTATGTGCAATTAATTTCCAAACATATATTCAAATGATGTTTTGATTCATTTACGTACAACTACCCCATTTCAATTCAGGAATACAGATGGGTGACAAATGAAAGGAAAAACAAAAAGTGAATAACACTATTTTTTTAGTAAAGTGTCTCCAGAACAGCTTCGGTGTGTTCCCCTTTTACTCCATTGTGTTCAGCATCTTTCTATCTTAAATTGTAACTTCGATACCAAGATTATTTGCTTTATCAATACACACAGAAGACAGTGCCCTGGACATGTCAGCAAGACTCAGGCTGTCAAAAATAAGCACTGAGCCTTTCCTCTTGGACATTTTTCAGAGATTAAATAAATATTTTCTTCTCCCATAGAACAAACCCTCATTCTTGTGCTACGGACAGTTCAGGCTGCAGAGGGGAGGGAACTCGGTCTGGCTGGAAGGGGTGAGGGGGTGGGTTGTGGGCTGGTAGCTTTGCTCAACAGATGGGCTGGTGAAAACTCCTTTCACATTCAGCCAGGAAGAGCTTAGACATTAAATAATGAGAAAGGAGGGTTTCCAAAATTGGCATTTGCCTCCAGGGAAGGGCAGATGCTGCCAGAGTGTAAACGACAAATCTTCAGTCTTTCAAACCCCTGCTATTTTCTCCCGAAGATAACCACGTTAATCATTTTAGTCAGAGGCAAAGAGGTCTGGACTGCAGGGGATATAACTGTGTACAGGCTAAAATGCTGGTCCATGATAATGATGGGAAATGTGGGGATGATGACCTTGTCCGGGTTTACTGGCTATACAGTACATGACTCGGTGGCAGACGTGCACAAAAACATGCTAGTGCCCAAGGGTGTGAGTCACATTCAAGTAAACGTAGACTGGCTAAACATTCAGCCAAACAGGACACGGAGGCACTAACAGATTATCATGAACATGACTGTGGTCAAATATCAAGACTGAATGTCAAAGAAAAAGAAAACACTGCATAGACCTCTCCCACTCACAGATTGAGCATAAACTTCCTGTGCATACAACAGAGCTTAAATAACAATCAGAAAAATATTACAGCTATTTATTTACTTTATTTCAAAGTCAGCATAGAAGAGACCCAACTTGTTCCAGGGTTGGTTCACATGCCAGTTCCCTGCCTCCCTGTCCTCATGCCCCTCTCATCCATTTCATTCCTCTTAATTAATTTCCTGTTTACAGTTCAGATGGACCGCAGACAAAACTTACCTTCTGACTACAGAAAAGAAGCAAATTGTAAAGCATCTTCAGCACACTGTGAGGAAGGCTTCTTTAAGAGGAGAACTGGCACAGATGGAGAAGTTATTAGTGGGGTGAGTTGGACGGAAATGGTGAAGGGGCCTCAATCTGCTGCAACTCAGCCCTGATTCACAGAAGCTACTTCATGGTTGTACTATGCATTTTATATTACAAAAGCTCTTTATTGCTTCAAACCATAATTTCTCAGTTTGGAATACCACTACCCTCTGGTCATGTGATCATTCTTCCATATGTAGGCAGGAAGCAGGAAGCAAAACACTGCTGCATCTGGTCTCTGATATCTACTGAGAAATTGAAAGGACACTAGTTCTTTAGAAATCAAGTCTGAATCTTATGACTAACAGTGCTAGTACTGTGTAGGTGAACACTGTATGTTAAAGTTAATTAATTCCAGTAATATATACAGAGGCTTCAGAAAGTATTCAGATTCCTTCATGTTTTACTCACTTTATTGTATTGTAGATTTCATCTTAAAAAGATAAAATTGCATTTTTTGCCCATCAGTCTACACTCAGCAACCCATCGAGACAAAATGAAAACAAAGATGGGAAAACCTGCTGGAAGGACGCCCATCTCAGCATTCCCCCATCTTTCAAGCCTTTATGGTAGAGTGGCTGGACAGAAGCCACTTTGAGTAAAAGGGATGTGACAGCCCACTTGGAGTTCACCAAACAACATTTAAAGGATTGAGAAAAAATGATCAAAAAATGACAGCGAAACTGGTCAGAATTGAGGGAAGGATGAATGCAACCAAAACCACAAGGTCTTTGAAGAGAATATCTATGTGAAATTAAATCAAAAATGTGCAAAACACGACACAGTCCGAATACTTTCTGAAGAGGCTGTATGTTAGACTATAAACTGGCTTATATGTCGTTTTAGAAATGGAGCAGACACTGAGCAACTTTAGCATTCATTTAGAGTGATGTTACTGTCGACCACTCATAGAGCTGAGGGAAGGGCAGAGTTGAAGAGTTTGCTGTGGTCATTATGGTCACCACTATTCACATTCAAGCTCCTGGCTCTGTTATTAATAAAAATATATGACTAGTGCAGCCTCAAGAAAAGAGTTCCTTAATCATAGTCTGTGAATGTTATATTAATACACAACAGATGGCAGAAGATGGCAGCTAAAAATGTATTGGTACCAGATGAGAATGTTCTGCATTGAATATAATTCACTAAAATCACACAAATGAATCTGACAATTTAAAATAACATGTTGCTATGACTTACGGCTGTATAAAATGGATGTACTCAAATGATTTAATGCCAGCTTGTCGAAGAACCACAGGACATAAATATGAAGACACCTACAGCTGGGGAACAAGCGATGAATCACTTCAAAGCAGTAGTCGCCGCTTCTATATTAGCATTAGCATATAATGTGTTGTATGTGAATTTCTTTTAACTGACTAGGTCTGTGTTTGGGCAATTAAAGCTGTGCTTTCTAGTTTAATGAGGATATTTAAGCTAAATAATCTAAAGTTTACTGAAGAGTGGTCAGTGTGGTCATTAAGTGGCAATTACAGGATAATGGCTTATTAAATTCCATTTCCCAAGATCCTCTTCAGACATCATTAGGCGATGGGACTGCGAGTGAGCAGAATGGGACAAAACAACCTGAAACAACAAACACGCCTCCTGGTGGCGAGGTATGACATGTGTCTATCGCTCTGTCTCAAAAAATTTAGTGTACGCTGGCATAGAGAAGTCATGCAAGTGATTTTGTAATCCTGTTCCAAAGGCATTTCTATCAAAATCTTGCAAACATTAGCCTCTATAAGATATTGGACAAAGGCAGTAGAAGTGTACTGATTTGACCAAGGTAGTGCTTTTCTGCTTATGGATTCAACGTTTCATTTCTAAGCGGAAAAATGAGTTGTTTCTCCTTTTTAATATTATATACAAGCCCAACACAGTTGAGTTTGTATGTAGTTTGTATTCTCTAGCTGTTTAGCCTAAAGTCGTACCTATGTGTCCGAACCTGACCCAGACATAAACATAATTTCTAAATTTCTGTCTGAAACCACTAAAATTCTCACTACAAAGTGAGGATGCAAGGAAGGAAATAATCAGAATACTGCTTGTTCAAAGTAATTATTCCTCTTCTTCATAGTAGGGGATAGTAGTATTGCTCCAGCAGCCTGAGTCAACCAAATGAAAACATATTTTATTTGGTTTTTGTTTTTTTTATTCCTAGTGCCCTAAATTTAGTCAACAGGATGCCACTATTTTTGATTATTTAACATGTTCAGATCAGGGCCTTGCTTGTTTTAACTCTTTTCCATTGGTCTCAGGCTGTTATTCTGAAAAGGCTGCCAAATGGCAACCCTAGGGGAGGTTCCTCCAGCTCTACTGGCTGAGGAGAAGTCTGAAAAAATGGATAATGGCCAAATACCAAAGGACCATCAGCAATCATAAGTCCACACCCCTCACAAGTTACTTTGAACTTGTTAAGCTAAAGTGCGTACCTAGGTGTCCAAACCTGACCCAGACATAAACATAATTTCTAAATTTCTGTCTGAAACCACTAAAATTCTCACTACAAAGTGAGGATGCAAGGAAGGAAATAATCAGAATACTGCTTGTTCAAAGTAATTATTCCCCTTCTTCATAGAGGGGATAGTAGTATTGCTCCAGCAGCCTGAGTCAACCAAATGAAAACACATTTTATTTGGTTTTTGTTTTTTTTATTCCTAGTGCCCTAAATTTAGTCAACAGGATGCCACTATTTTTGATTATTTAACATGTTCAGATCAGGGCCTTGCTTGTTTTAACTCTTTTCCATTGGTCTCAGGCTGTTATTCTGAAAAGGCTGCCAAATGGCAACCCTAGGGGAGGTTCCTCCAGCTCTACTGGCTGAGGAGAAGTCTGAAAAAATGGATAATGGCCAAATACCAAAGGACCATCAGCAATCATAAGTCCACACCCCTCACAAGTTACTTTGAACAAAAACTACTGCTTAGTGCCCAAAGTAGATAACATACAGAAAATATACACCATAGAATCAGTGTTTCAGTTACCTACTATAATCTTGCCCACAGCCATCTGTGACAAATCACGCTATAGTTTTTAGTTACTACAGTATGGTCGCAGCTCCTCTACACTCCACAAACTGACTACACAGAATACATTCACCAGCAAAAACATGGTACACAGAGCTTAGGAACATATGGTTCCAATAGAGGTCTTCAACAATTCTGCCTGCCAGCAGAAATCACCTCACATACTGTATACAGCAAAAAGCCAAGACACCGGATTCATATACAGTGTGCAAGTACTGTAGCTGCAAGACTTGAACTGAGAATTTTAGTGAGCCTACAGCAGAGTATGTGAGTGGAGCAGAACGTGGGCAGGGGGATTTTGAACAGGGCACAGAGTGTTGAATTTTACACATGACTTTTTGTGTTATATTCCTTGTTACACAGGCCTAACTGTAATTTGACATAAATCATTTTTATTTGGAAAAAAAGAGTTGTTGTACTTTAGTCCTTTGGGATGTAAGGCTACGGTTTAAGCTAAAAGTAAAATACATGCAGATTGTTTCCCCTTTCTTGGAGAGTGAGTGGGTGTGATT